CCTCCCACTGTCCCAGGCTGCTCCAGCCCCAAATCCAACCTGGCCCTGGGCACTGCCAGGGATCCAGGGCAGCCCCAGCTGCTCTGGGCACTCTGTGCCCTTTATGCTCTGAGTAAAGAATTTCTCAGAATCAATTTAGATCCAATAGGATCCGATTATTCTGCTACAAGCCCATTGACCTGAAGGATTCATCGTTTCTTTCTCATGTTTAAATTACCAAGAGAAATGGTGGCTCTCATTACAATTCCCTTTTGATGAATCACATTTTGAGTCACATGGACACATGCCTGTCCTCTGGCATGTGAATAGCCTAAAAGAAGCACTAAATATTAGCACAAAGTTACTGAGGTAACAAAAAATAACCAAGGCAGATTCCATAAAAACAAGTTTCAGGTCACTTTATGGGAAAAAAACCCCACATTTCCCCCCTAAAATAACCACTGCAATGTCATTATTAATGTAGAAGAAAGATCTACTGACAACATGCATTGGTTAGCATGACACAGGGCTTAGATTGCATGTTATATATATGCAATAGGTATACATTTCTCAAGGTGCAAATAAAGCAAACAAAATTTAAACAATAAACTTGTGTGTTTATACAGAAGCACAGCAATAATGCCAAAATATAAAAGCACATCACACCATCAATACCTACAGAAAGTTCTTCCCCTTGAAGCAGTTCTTCAATAACAACCATCTCTCCAAACATTCTGTCCTGTAAAAGACAGAACAAAACAAAAGAAACCCCCAGTGAGCAGATATAAATCCACTGCCTAAATACTCTCTTAATTTTCTTTTAACAAACAAAAAACCAATGTGTATGAGGAGTGCCAGCTTGCTTGAAGGCCAGCGGGGAAAGCCAATGGAATTTCATTTGGATGTAAGGAGGCAACACTGGAATATTCCTTATCAGGCCTGGGAGACAAGGAAAAATTACAATTTGGAGGGGCAGAGAAATGGCACCTGAGGCTGGAACAGAAGTTCAGTCACAAAATCTCCCAGCCCTGCCTGGGGGACACGGCTGGAATCTGAGACCCAGGGAAACTCTTGAGTGGAACGACCAATTTCTCCCAGAAATTCTTACCCCCTGCAGCAGGAATGACAAGCTCCCAGAGTACAGAGCACCAAGATTTGCACTGGCAGGGATTAATTAAGGATTTTCCCACCTGCATAATCTCCTGGACAGCTCTGCAGGCCTCCTCCTTGCTGGCTGCAATGGTCACTTCTTTCCTGGCCGCTGGCCCCCGCGCCCGCACCACCCGGGCAGGGAAATCTGTGCTTTAAGGGAAGAGAGGTCAGACATCCCTGCTGCATCCAGGGAATCCAGGGAAGGCACCACTCTGCTCCTGGAACCCCCCCACACTCCCACTGTACCGCCAGAGTTTCCCCACTTACTCCGAAACACAAACTAAATCCAGAAGTTAAAAAAGAACAAAGCATCACGCTGGTAATAAATGGATTTTAACTTCACCCGCTCACCCTCTGGCTTGTGAGCAGCCAAATAAAACATTTTTTGAAGGGCTGAATTTCCTTTTTCCTGAAAGAACACTTCACTNGCCCGCACCACCCGGGCAGGGAAATCTGTGCTTTAAGGGAAGAGAGGTCAGACATCCCTGCTGCATCCAGGGAATCCAGGGAAGGCACCACTCTGCTCCTGGAACCCCCCCACACTCCCACTGTACCGCCAGAGTTTCCCCACTTACTCCGAAACACAAACTAAATCCAGAAGTTAAAAAAGAACAAAGCATCACGCTGGTAATAAATGGATTTTAACTTCACCCGCTCACCCTCTGGCTTGTGAGCAGCCAAATAAAACATTTTTTGAAGGGCTGAATTTCCTTTTTCCTGAAAGAACACTTCACTCTCCTTTCCACACTATGATTTCTGTTAGGTTAAACCTCAACCCAGTTTATACCACCCAAGCTCCCACCCCTTCTGCCCATCTTGCTGTGCACACCTGGGACAGTTTTCCCTTTGGAGCCTTGCACTTGCTGACAGAGAAGGTGTCGGCCTTGTCTCTGTGTAGCAGCAACATAAACTGGGTGTTCTTACAGAGCAAAACCAGTGAAAAAGTTGGTTTTATTCCCAACCTTCATAAAAAGGGTTTTATTAAAAAAACTCCACAGGTTCCATGAGTTTATCCCACATGGAGCACTTGGCAGCAAGGACAGGGAGTCTGGGAACACACCCACAGGCAAGGAAATGGGACTGTTCTCCTTTAGTTATGGATATCTGACCAAAACCTTCCAAATCATCCTCAGAGAGTGTTTTGCTGGCATCTGTCTGGGTAGAAATTATTCTTAGCCCTTAACTAACTGAAAGATTCATTGAAATATTTTCTTTATGACAATTTTTTGTCTATAAACGACTTATTGAGTATCCTTAAGGAGCAGGTGGAAAAGAAGAGCTGGGAATTCAGAACAGAAAAATCAACCTGCTGCAGTTCACAGAATTGTGAAATCATGAAAGGGTTGGGTTGGAGACACCTCAAAGCCCACCCAGTGCCAGCCCTGCCATGTCAGGGACACCTCCCACTGTGCCAGGCTGCTCCAACCTGGCCTTGGGCACTGCCAGGGATCCAGGGGATTCTCTGGGAATTCCATCCCAGCCCTGCCCACCCTGCCAGGGAACAATTCCCAATTCCCAATCTCCCACCCATCCCTGCCCTCTGGCAGTGGGAGCCATTCCCTGGCTCCTGTCCCTCCATCCTTGTCCCCAGTCCCTCTGCAGCTCTGGAACCCCTCCAGGCCCTGGCAGGGCTCTGAGCTCTCCCTGGAGCTTCTCCTCTCCAGGTTGAACATCTCCAGCTCTCCCAGCTGGCTCCACACCTGCACCTCCATCAGCTGTCTCTAATTACAGTGCTGATTAACCCACACCGTGGGAAGCTCAGGTGGGAGGCAGAGGAGCAGGGGTACCTGGTGATGAACCTGCAGGCCTCCTGGGGCGTGCTGAAGGCTCTCCAGCGCGCCGTGGCGATCCCGTGGCGCTCCAGGAAGGCTTTGCT